TCCTACTGAAATAAAGCCATCAGTCCAATCTATGTCGCACCTTTTGCTATCAGGTATGCACCAACAGCCCCTGCCAAAGTAATTTGGCTTAAAACCAGCGTGCAATGGACATCAATTCTCTTCCACCGAAAGGAGTCTGCCTGCTCCACATTTAACAAGTTATTCAGAAATTGCCTCATTGTAACTTTCCATGCAACTACTGTACAGTCTCAGAAGCAGAGACCTAAGAACTTCCTCTTCCTTCAGCTACAGGGAACGGCCGTGTGTGTGTGTGTGTGTGTGTGTGTCAGAAAGGAGGATGGGTGACAGCCAGAGATTATTTAGCAACTGTCTTGGGTTATTGCTGCAGACACAGTACTATAGGGGTTTTAGATTATGACACTTGACAGCTACACTACATGCAACTTTTTCTGTTCTGTATACACAAAGTTGCTGCAAAGCAGTAGTTAGGCAAGCAGAGAGACAGAAGAAAGATACAGTTCTCCACAGCTGTCAATCACAACCAAATGTCTACTGGGGCACAGAAAGCTGCACCCCTAAGCATATTTTATTGAATGCAACTTACACAGATGTAAGTATTTTGAAGTCCCATGGATTTCAATGGGAGAGATTTAAGCAAGTTTTCAACCTTACCTTTGCCAAGTGTGTGCCTTTAGTATTTACACAGTGCTTTTCCTGGGTAGTCTAGAAGCAATTTGATGCACACTCTCTCAGTAATCCTTACAACATCTCTGTAATTGGACTTCATGTTTCCATGTCCATGTCGCAGGCAGAAGCTGTGGCTTGCCTAAGAACTGCCTATTTATTAGCTGGATGATTGATCAGATGGGCACCTGGCCTGATCCATGCTCTTCTTTTGATTTTAAGACCTTAAGGTTCAAACCAGAGTCTTCCCTCGTTCTATTACCTGCTGAAGGTTGAAGATTTCATTTTAGCAAGAAGCTTCGTACAACCACGGCCCTTCAATAACAGAACTGTAACCTTCCACCATTTAGGAACTCCAAGATGGAAGAAGTGGACCAAACCAAAGATGGTGGGGAATTTTTTTGAAAGAGTTGCGCTTTGGGAATCCATGTCTGGAATCAATTGCAAATGTCACTTGAGAGGCACAAATACAAGATGGGTGACACCTGGCTTGAGAGCAGTACATGTGAAAAGGATCTAGGAGTCTTGGTTGACCACAAACTTGACATGAGCCAACAGTGTGACGCGGCAGCTAAAAAAGCCAATGCAATTCTGGGCTGCATCAATAGGAGTATAGCATCTAGATCAAGGGAAGTAATAGTGCCACTGTATTCTGCTCTGGTCAGACCTCACCTGGAGTACTGTGTCCAGTTCTGGGCACCACAGTTCAAGAAGGACACTGACAAACTGGAACGTGTCCAGAGGAGGGCAACCAAAATGGTCAAAGGTCTGGAAACGATGCCTTATGAGGAACGGCTAAGGGAGCTGGGCATGTTTAGCCTGGAGAAGAGGAGGTTAAGGGGTGATATGATAGCCATGTTCAAATATATAAAAGGATGTCATATAGAGGAGGGAGAAAGGTTGTTTTCTGCTGCTCCAGAGAAGCGGACACGGAGCAATGGATCCAAACTACAAGAAAGAATATTCCACCTAAACATTAGGAAGAACTTCCTGACAGTAAGAGCTGTTCGACAGTGGAATTTGCTGCCAAGGAGTGTGGTGGAGTCTCCTTCTTTGGAGGTCTTTAAGCAGAGGCTTGACAACCATATGTCAGGAGTGCTCTGATGGTGTTTCCTGCTTGGCAGGGGGTTGGACTCGATGGCCCTTGTGGTCTATTCCAACTCTATGATTCTAACTGCAATCCTAGACCCATATACCTGGGAGTAAGTCCCATTGAAGTCCATGGGGCTCATTTCTGAAAAGAGCAGTAGAGGATGAATGCTGTGATTCTAATCCCTGGAGGACCATCCTCAAACGCTGCTGAGATCTGGCCATGCTGAGGACAGCAGGAAGGGAAAGGAAGCAGAGACCCGCCCCCACCTGCTTTTCGCCCCCTCTGCCACCCTCACCTCCCACCAAGGTAGTTTTATTGAATGTTGCGGTTTTCTACTGCATTGTTAGCTGCCCTGGGCAGCCCACTGGGAGAAAGGGTGGGCCAGAAGCACAGAGATATAAAATGAATAAGGGTTGTCCTAGAATAAATTTCAGTTAAACTGAAAGCAACTGTGGCAATTTTGCTGCACTCCAACCCCAAAAAACCCAGTTTTCATGAGCATATGAGGATTCCACGGCGGCGCCCCCTTTAAAAACAAAGCTATAATTATCTTTTTCATACTGTTTATTTATCTTTTACTGGTATTATACAGAACAATAACATTCAAGCTCTCCACCCCCCCCCCACAGAGAAGAACAGATTCATACAAGTCACCCTACTAAGAGATGTTAGCTAAAAGTATGAGTCCATAATTTGCAGTGAGTCGTTGATGGCCGATAGCCCTGCTCTGCAAAAAAATCTTAGGAACTTGTTTGTCGTGATTTTTGTGGACACATGTCTGGAAATCGTGGTGCCTGGGGGAAAGCGAGAAAGCAAAGCACGTGCCTAGACAAGAATGGGTCCATTTGGCGATCTCAGGCTGTGGACCTGCTTGTCTCATGTCTCCCTCTTCTTTAGATGATAATGCTCACTTACTACAAAATGTGTTAAGAAGCCTGGCCTGCTGCATTGGAGAGGGGTGTCCCCTGCTCAGGCTGCTGAATGGGCCACTGGACACCTGCCACCCCATCCCCCAAATCCTGCCACCATGGAACCAATGTCTACAAATTATTTCTGTGTAGCTGAATCACTGTTCCCCTGTGACATTTTCCATTTACCCTGTACCCATCCTATTTTTTATTTTTAGTGCCTTTGGCTGCAATCCAGTACCCACTTACCTGGGAGAACACCTCACTGAATTCAATGCAACTTACTTCTAAGTAGACGCGCCTGGGACTACATGTTCAAAGGCATGAAATGCGGTGTCCCGAATTCGAATCTCACTTCAGGCTTTAGAGAAGCTACTATTCTCTAACTTGCCTCCCTCCCAAGACACACCAACCATATTGTGCACTGGCGGTGCCTCTCGGGTTCTTTTTCCATTTTCTTTCCGTGATGTTTAATGAGATAATGTACATGGGGCACTTGGAAAACTCAAAAGAATACTATACAGCGCGATGAGCTCGTGTAAGAAACAAAAATGGTTTGATTGAAAGGTTTGTGTGATTATAAAACAAAGATGCACTAAAGGATATAGGTCAAACACCTGAGTTCTTAAAATACAGAGAACAAGCCATGCTCCTTTAAATGTAGCATTTGGCGTCGCGTGGCAGAAAACAGTCAGCTTCCTTTCAGTGAGCTAGGACACCTCACAAAGTGTAGCATACAGTATCTGCCTGAGGCATGCTGGCTATGTCAACAGATTATCTCGCATTGAACTGTCTAGACTGTTATTAATATGCAACTGATTCAACAGCAAGGGCACTGCTGTTGGAAGCAAACTGGAAGAACTGTTAAGTGGGGCATTATTCGCCTCTCCAACTGAATCAGTCCCTTAAAGGAGAAACATGGAGAAAACCAGATGTGACTCATCAATGACTATGCCTAGCAAGCAGGCAAACAAAAGGCTGCTCTTCCTTTAAGAATAAAGCAGACCCGAACTGTCCCCCATTGCCTGCCAGCGCTGTATTTTGCCAGGAAACCTTTCCCGAAAGAAAGCAGGAACTCAAGGCTGAGATCCCTCTACAAATAATGCCGGTCAACTATCAAAGCGGTTAACAATTCCACCGCAATAATATCCAACAATAGATGCAGACAGCTAGAGCACGTGTGCAGTCTCCTTAAACACACACAAAACACACCTTTAAAAGTACATTGTAGAATCATGCTGATCAATATCATTTGGACAAGTGGAAGATAAAATCCGGCACCTCATTATCTCACTCACCCTACAGCTGTCATGGGGGGGGGGAGGAGTGCAGTATGCAAGTTACATTTGCAGCCACATGCTTCTTCATCTACACCTATCTCCTAAACTACACAGGCCAGGCTCCCCCCCCCCCAAATGAAGACACAGTAGTTTGTACAATGGCTAAATAATCTTATAGACTTGTAACCGAACCCAGCAGGGCAACTCATAGCAGCACTACTTTAGGTAATATTTTGCCCTAATGAAAAAACCCCTTCCAGCTGCATCGAAGGATCCCAGCTGATACATTTGGGTTCTAGTCAGTTCCTCTCCCCATCTTTGTACATATTTAGGCTAATCAGAGATTTCACACCCAGTCCGCTATCTCTCTCTGGATTCCCCATCTCTCCACCGTATTGTCAAGTCAGTTCGGTTTAACCTCATTACCCAATTTCCATCTCTGGTCGTATTTCTAAACCCCTTTGCTGTCTAAACTCTCTTCTGCGTGTGCTTGAACTGTCATTGTTCTAAGCGAAAACAAGCTTTCTTTTTTTCATGGAAGCGAAGTAACACAAAGGATTTTCTTTTTTTAAAAAAATATTGCAGTGCGTCCCTGGCTTCTGCAATCAAGTCTCTCCAATAAAGGAACTGACTTGCCCCGACACACCAATTACCTTGCAAAAAATCTGAAAAATCTATTCAGCTTGCACCAGCTGTTAGTTGTTAACACTGGTTGAAAGCAATCCCCCCCCCCCCACGTTTTATTTTAAAGGGAACAGCAATGAAAGGAGAAGCAACTTTTTTATTTTGAAAAAATTAACAGAACCACAATGTAATATGAAAAAAACACACTCCAAAGAACAACTTCCACCAGACCTCAGATGCTCCCTGGTTACTATATGACCTGGGATTTAATGCGAGCAGCTTTCAACTGGACTGCATGGCTATTGATAACATTTATGACAGTGGTTATTATTTTTTAAAAGGGGGGGGACGACAAGATCACAGAAAACGAGAAACAAAATCAGAAAAGCCGCTCTGATTCACCAGCGCCTGCATTTAAGAGATTTCACAGGAGTAACGTAAATGGTTCACCTGCTGCCAGTTCTCTTCCAAGGATGGCAAAGCCGAGAAGTAACCGGTGTCGTGGACAAGCTGCAGTTCCTGGAATATACTATAACTAGCCAAAACATCCATGTTGCTGTTGCTGCTGCTGCTGTTGCTGCTGCTTCTGCTGAAAACAACAAACCCCGACCCTTTCCTTTTAGGTTTGTGTTTGCAATTTTGCGGTGGGCTTTTAGTTCTGTTCATTAAAAAGGGAAGGGGGAAGAGGAAGAGGAGGAGGAGAAGGAGAAGGGGGGGGGGTAAGAAGGACCGTTAAGAGCAATCAATCCAGCTGTCCTTGTCCTCTGTTTTGCTTTTGTTTCCTATATATATGCATATGCTGTTTGTAGTCACACTTTCAGGGACGGACCCAAAGCAGGAACAGGAGCGGAGGAAAGCGGGGGGAGGAAGGAGCCCCATCAACGACCCAGAGAGAGAGAGAGAGGGGAGAAAGAGAGAGAGAAGGGATAAATGCTCCCGAACGTGTACAGTGCAAGCCGTCAGCCAGGCAGCCAGAGAGGAGGAGGCGGGGGGGGCACACTTCTTCTCCACTTGTAGTAAAAAAGCAATTGCCTTCCGGGGCTCTGTTGCTGACTCCAGCTCTTGCACCGGCGGGGAAGGGGGGGGGATGCAAACTCACTGACACGAGACTGCCATCTATTTCTGCATTGCTGCTCGCTGCTGAATGCAATCTTTGCTCTTTATTTTGGGGAGGTTGCATTTTCCGCCTTGCGCGCGCGCGCGCGCTCCGGGAGCCAGGCGCGCTCCCATACTTTCCTCTCTCTCTCTCTCCCTCCCTCCTCCCTGCGCGCAGCCGTGGGATCTTCAGAGGAAACTGTCCATTAAGGCAGCGCGTGACCATGTAAGGCAAGCGGGAGGCGGGCCGCCAGGGCCGCTCATGAAGTCACTGGCGCCCAATGGGGGCTCGGAGCGAGGCGGCGGAGGCGGGGCCGGGCACGGAAGAGCCGCGGCGATTGGGCCGAGGGCTGGATCCGACGTCCGCCTTATAAGGCAGTGTAAGGGGAGCTATTTTTAGAGGGCTATATAAAGGAGCCGGAGCGGCTGGTGCGCGGCGGAGTTTGCAGGAGAGAGCGAGCGCGAGCGCGCCCGGGATGCCGCGCGCGGACCTCGGGCTCCGGCCCGTTTGCAAAGGGGCTCCCGTCGTCAGAGAGTCTTTGCATTGCAGCAGCCAGAAAGCCAGCATTTTTCAAAAGAATTATTTTGCATTGCCAAGCAAAAAAATAAAATAAAAATCCGATCCAGAACGGGAATTGAGAAAGCAGGAATCTCCCGGTTTTTCAATGAGATATTGGCGGGGGGGGGGGCCGCACAAGTTCAGATCTGCTTCCCATTTCCACTTTTTAAAAAAAGAGAAGCCAGAATCCCATAAGGAAAAGTAGGGGCGGGGGGGGGAGAGATCGAGGAAAGCGTATTTATCCCGGGGGTTGGTGCTGTTCGGGAAAAGTTTCCGGGGGCTTTATTGCACTTGCTGCAAAATGCGTGCATGGACTGGCGATTTAAAAGCGCGCGCGCACACACACAAAAAAACACGCTCTAAGTGTCTGCCGTCCTATATGCGCGCAATTGGGAGTAAGGACCGTTGAACTCCGAGGGGACTGGCTTCCGAGTAAGCGTGCACAGGATCAGGCCCCCGCAACGTCTGCAGACCTTGCAAGCGCTAGCAAAAGTTTGGGCGTTCGTGGCGCTTCCAAGTCCCTGGCATCCTGTGGCGGAGTTACTCCTGGGTAGAGCCTCCTCTGTTCCAAGTCTACCTGCCACCGAAAACAAAGTCAGAAATATTCTGATGTGGCAGTCGAGGAGCCAGATACTGGACTAGGGAGAAGAAAGCAGAGGATTCAAATCTGTGACAACACTGGGTGAAGATAACCCCTTACGGGTATCTGAAAGCGCTGGGGCCTTATGCCAGAAACCAGCCGCTTGCATATTTTGTCGCCTACGGAGTTCTTCCCGCAAAGCAGTTTAAGTGAGCATGTCAGGCTGAGTTTTTCCATAAATGGTTTGCTTTAGGCCACATCTTCCCCAAGCTTTTCAGAGTGGTGGTAAAGGTGGTTTCACTTGGAAGAGCTAGGGATTTGCTGCATGCAATGTGATTTTGTTGAGGGGCAAACAGACAAGTATGTGCTCCTTTCTGTCCGTTTTTAAGGCTTGGCAGTAGCTCAGCTCTCCAGCCAGGGCTGGTCAGAATCCAGATGTGTGGCTTTCCTCATCCCCTCTGCCTTTTCTGAGGATGGGAGAGAGGGGCTGTCACTTGCTGTAGATGCCACATAGTGTAAGTGTTTTGTAACAGTAGCCCTTTCCTGTATATATTATAAACAGCAGCCATGCAGAGAAGGAAAATTGCACATCCTAGTTGAAATAGCTGCATGCTGTCTTTGTTGCACCCAGCAAAGCTTCTCAGTTTGGATGGGGCAAGGGAGGTTGGACCACGGTGAGGTTGCAAGAATGGGAGCAGGGCTGGTTGAGGCTGCTGGTGGGAGTTGTGGTCCCAAATATCTGGAGAGCACCAGATATCTGGCGAAGTGCTGGGATATTAAGTGGAAAAGAAGTTCCATTAAGCAGGCATTTCATGACTTGGGATAGGATCATTTTGAATGTCAACAAGCAAGGAAAGAGTAGTATTGAGTTGTCCCTACAGCACTGGGAAGGAAGGAAGGAAGAGCAGATGTCTGCGTTTAATAAGACATGCTGTCTAAAATCTATATCTTATTAAATAAACAAGACATAACCTCCTGGTCAAACTAGGGTTTGCATACAAACAGATTGGCTTGGAATACTGTCTTCTTATCTAGAATAATGGGGGCACACAGTCCAGAATTTTGGCTGGATGTTTTGAAAAATCTCCCCTATTTCAGCCCATTCCAGAGCTGAGCAAAAATTTCTGAAGACATTTTTCCTGAAAAACAGAGATTTATCTCGTTCTGATTTTACCTAGAAATATTGTGAATGCATCCTCCCCCCTCCAAATATGCCCCAGCATTTTTATTTTAAGGCACGTGTTGGCAAGCATTCTTTCCTCCACCATCCATGCCCCAAGATGATGCTAGATCCACTCTGGAAGATGCACAATGGCCAGGCAACAGCAGAAAGGATGAAATCTTTGGGGGGATGGAAGAGACTTGAGGGCCTCGGATATAAGATTACCAGGTTAATGTGCTAGCTCAATGGGATAAAATGGACTGACAAACCCGGGACCAGGAGGAAGGGACGCTGGATGAAGATTGGATTGCTTTATTTTTTCCCCTTTATTTTGTTATTAGGACTGCCTTACATAATTGATGAATGTTAGAAGGATGTTTGAAATGAAATTGCCTGGCTTTAGTATAAATGTTTAAAGGATTAGGAAAGAATACAATGGTTATGAGAAGTTAGTAAAAATAAGATTTAGGTTTTGAATTATAAGGTTTTTTATAAGATAATGAGGAAAATAGATTAAGGTAATGCAATGAAAGATTAGGATATAAAGTGGGGAAGGATTTGCTGAATTAACAAATTGAATTGGAATACAGGAAAGGGAGGGGTGAGGAAGTCTGAGAAATAAGCAAATGAAAGTTAAGTAAAGGAAGATGGAATTGTTTTTAACTATATTTTTTGTATTTTTCTTTTTTCTTTTTGTATTTTGTAATATTTTGAAAATTTCAATAAATATCTACAGGGGAAAAAAATCTTTGGGGGGATGAAATCATGGTGCTGAACACCCCTGGGGCGATTTACACTAGCCTTTGCGGAGCCAGTGTGCTCAGCCAGAGTGGACAGGTTACACTCACATATATTTGGTTCAGCCAAGGTTCAGACTTTGCACCCGCTGAGCCAGGGATCAGCTGGCTGAGCTGGAGATCAGATGCACTCTCAGCTGCTGATCTTACTGTGCTAGCACCTTGTCACCTGCACGGACATCTAGTATATTTCCGGGCCCAACTGCTTTGTTAACATGAGCAACTTTGACCCGTGGAGCAGAGCAGCAGAAAAAGCTTCCCGAATACAGTATTCCTGCTGATTATTAGGAGTGGGGCGGTTGGAGCTGTGCAGATGTGCTGGTGGACCCAATCCAGCATTCCCACACATGTGTTCACACGGCCCTGACCTTGCTATCACTTCCCACTGTTGGCGTCCGTCTGTCTTGAGAGACAACGGAGTGTGCATCTAGGGCTGAAGTCAAACCGTTGTGTTAGTGCCAAAGTTACCTCCCCTTGGCACAAGCCTGGGCAGTGCGTATGGAGGTCCTGGGCTGCCCAGGCAAAACAACGCTATCAGCCTCTCTGATGTGGTCCAAAAGAAAGGAGAGCAATACATTTGGAACCAGCTTGGCTGCAGGAGTTGCCAGAAGGAGGCGTGTAAGACGCCATCCAACCGTCGTACGGACTCCACTCCAGATATGTGAAGGATTTACTGGTTAGCCCTTTCTTTTCCCAAAGATGTCCCACAAGGCAGTGGAGGTTTAGGGTCAGAGTTTTCCTTCTCATAGATGGGCTACCTTCCTAAGTTGACGAGCCCCATCTGCCCCTCACTTCCCTCTAAGCGGCAGCAATGAATACTCAATGCCTATTTTCTTGGTCTTTTTGCTGTCAGGCAAAGACCTTTCATTTTCCAAGAATTTTCAGTCTGAAAATCTTTTTGGTGATTTTCAGATTTTTGTACTGATGTCGTTCTCTGTTGTTGGTTTCACTCTGGTTTGGATTTGTTGTGGGTGTTATTTTGCTTTACATTTTGTGCTTATGTTTATTTTTAAGGGGAATGAGGGGAAGCAAACGGGGGACGGGGGGACGGGACAGAACCATTTTCCCTACGAGAGTTACTATTGAATTTGAAAATAATTTGCATAAGTGTCAGGGGCTCAGGAGCAGAGGCACAGGAAAGGGAGGAAATAGAGAGCGAGGGGGAGGAGTCCGAAGGAAATGTTAGCGATGACAGCGGTCCGAGGTCTCTGAGTCTTTCCAGCGAATCGGAAGATTCACAGAAAGGGGCTCCCATGGTCAGAGCAAGGGGGGTGCCTAGGGGGACACCCCAGGAAGAAGGGGCCAGAGGGGATTCAGAGAGCAGCAGTTGGAAATCAGGACCAGCTTCCCCACCAGAGCCAGCGGGAGGAGAGGAGTCAGGATTGGCCACGCCTCCATCGGAGAGCGAGGAAATGGTCAAGAGGAAGGTTGAAGGCTGGGCGCGCGCGCCAAGTTCAAATGTACAGGAGGGCGGCGCAGTTGGCAGCCCGGATAGGGAGCCAGGTCCCAAAGCCCACCGAAAGGAGGGGGAGGAGTCAGGGGGGTCAGCGTCAGAGGAGTCCAGAAAGGAGGAGACCCCGGGGGGCAGAAGGACCCAGAGGAGAAAGGAGAGACGGAAGAGGTGGAGTAAGGTTAGAGTCTTAAGTTGGTGTACAGGGGGTGGAGACTCAGATGGAGCTTCGCCGGTCTAGCCTCTAAGACGTAGAGCTGGGCGCTGCGGCTTGAAAATGGAAACTGTACTTCAATAAAGACTTTTGTACATTACTACCGGCTAGCGTTGGTCCTCTGTGAGCTGGGACCTGGAGCCAGCTCTGACAATAAGAATAGCTAAATTTAGCAGATGCATCTATGCCAGTTATTCCGCTGAATTCTTTAAAAGGTGAGCTTTCAATTTCTGCACTACACCAATGCAAACTAAGCAGCGTAAACGTGTAACTTCATGGCTAGGTTTTCACGTCAACTCGCTATGGAAGTTCTGTTCACTTCTCATAAAATGACACAATTTAGATCTTCACAGAAGCACCCCACATTGACTATTTTTGTCATTCTGTGAAACCTTTGCT